TCCTAGTCCCGGGCGGATGGCTCCGGCCCTTCGTCCACTAGCGCTTGTCGATTTAGCGTACCGTGATCGCTACTACTTGAAAACAATTGCTCCGAGCGCTGGAGGCGATGCCTGAGATTCTCTAGAAGTGCTCAAACGGGACAGCTCAGTAGTCCAAGGAAAAACGAAGAGAAAAGCGAATAAAAACCAGTAGTGGTGCAGAACGGGGTCAACCGGGAATTGAAAGTCCGACGGAACGAGCGTTCGTACGTTCCCAAGTCGCGACTCTAACTCCGTTTCCTTCTCATATGGGGGAGTACACGAGTACGCCCGTGTGCTCCTCCACAGAGGGGGGGAGTTAAAATGGCGACCTCGTCATTTAGGATAGCAATGGAAATGAGAAGGAAAGTAGGATATGCATGCGGAGTGTGAATGAATATCGAAAAATCAATGGTGGGGAGAAAGACTACAATGGAATACTCAATGTTCGACATAAATTGAATATTCGCTTGAGCTACTGGGCTTCAGGTTCGGAACATCGCTTGTAGACAGGTACTGGAGCAGGTGAGGGAATCGAAGAGCGAGTGATTGGTATGCTGATTGGCGGTGAAGTCGAACAGTCCGGTGACGGTCCATGGGTGATCCATCAATGCATCGACCTAGATCATAATTCTGCTCTTCGTCTCTCTCCCACTTCGGCCTCATCAACTCCTCCACCGCATTGTCAGTACTTTTCTCGTGTGAAAACCCGGGCCAACCAGGTTGACTGCAAACCTCCGCGCTCCAATGCAAATCAAAATACTCTGCCGCCTGTGAAGGAAATGAAGGAACGTCCATAGGCGTAGAAAAGAAATAACCAGGCCGTCCGAAAGCGTAAGCGTAAGTGACAACTCGAGTATAGACTGCCTCATCCACTGCTGAATCCGAAGGTAAAATCAAACCTCGTCGCGAAGGAAAGGGATTGTCAGGGCGGAAGTAAAATATCTTCAAACGCGAACCATGAATGGGGCCCCGAACAATAGTGCCGTCGAGTTCCCTCAGAATAAAAGCGCCGTGCTCTGTCCGCATGTGAACAATGAACGGACCAGACCAACGCTCCTCCTCTTTGGAGCCTTTGACCTCGTCAAGCCAAGTCTGATGTAACAGTACCCAGTCGCCCTCCTTCAAGCTATCAGGATCAAATCTACTCGGGTACTTACGTTGTGCATCCTCTATTGCCCGCTTCCGAGACTCGCGAACCTTCTGAGTAATTTCCAACAAAGCTTCATCTCGTCTGGCAATCTGGAGCGCTCTCAAGGCAAGAAGCTCGTCGCGGTCATACACCGTATGCCAGGCAAGACTCTGCCAAGTGGTGTCCTCAAACTCATACGCAAAAATCGGCTGTGTGCCATAGAGGATGTAGTACGGACTATAGCCTGTAGTACGGCTGGTAGTGGTCCTGATTGCAAGAAGAACTGCGTGCAGGTACTGTGGCCATTTACGCTTCTCTGAACCTGCGCACTTTAAGACACCGTTTCGGACCGGCTGGTGCGAACGTTCAGAGACCCCGTTTCCTTCCGGATGGTAGCTCGTTGAAAAGACAACATGAATACCGTAACGTGCAAATAAAACTTCCATAACACCCTTAAACTCTGAGCCATTGTCAACAGTAAAAATCGGAACATAGCCAAAGCGGCAAATAATATCCTCGAAAATGAAACGGGCCCAATGCTCGGAGGTATTAGCAGGAGCAGCTCGCGCTTCTGGCCAGTCCATGAGTCCCTCAACAGCGGACAGTATATATTTGACTACTGTGCCATTGCTGAGGACACCATCTGACATATGAATGGTATCGAGATGCCAATGCTTCATCGGCTTGGTGAGCCAACCAACATGAAAGTCGATTATAGGACGATGTTTCGAGTTCACCTGGCACTCATAACAGGAGCGCACGAAAATTGCCACAGAGTCGAACATGTTAGGCCAGTAATAACGCTCCTTGAGCTTAATGTAGGTGGCATTTCGCCCTCGATGACCAGACTGATCGTGCGCTTCTCTCATGAGTTCCAGACGACGCTTAGGATCCACTACAACAAGAAGAGGAGGGTGCGTACCAGTTCGATTCGGATAGCGAAATAATATCTGCTCATGCAAGAAAAACTGGTTAGCACGACGCATGAAGCGAGCACGTTCCTTCTCGTCTGAGTCACGAAGACGAGAAGGAAGCTGTTCGCTTCGTAAATACAGGATGATCTCATTCCACATCTCGATCGTGTCCTCGTCCTTCAATCCGAAACGGTGACCAACACAAGAAATATAAAACGGATTAGAAGAATCTGAAGTAAAATATGAAGCATTTCCATACGGAAGCGTTGGCAGGTCATAAAAGACGGACTCGTAAGTTTGACCTGTCTCCGCGCCCGAAGGAATAGCTGTACTATCCACCGTCACTCTGGGTCTGAGCGTACCCGGATAACGATCAACATAATAAGTGAAAGGTAACGCGGAATATTCGCCACCTAACTGACACCCTTCGTCCACAACAGTAACAGGAACATTGCGGCGGAAAAACTCCTTACCAATATACTCGCCATCGACCACATTGGAAAGACGAAGAAATTTGAAGAACGCACCGACAAAATAATTAATGGGACGAGCTATCGAATCCACTCCCATTTGGACAACACTCCCTAGCTCCGAAGAGTATGGATCAGGAAGATTACCAGCATGGATGAAATAGTCGCGGCGATCAGCATCCCAGAAATCGGCTTCAGAGTAAATAGGGTATAGGCCTTGAACACCGCGGACGCGTGGTTCTGAATATGAGAGAGGATCGACAGATGCGAAAGAGAAAGAGCCGAGAGAGTCGACGAATGGTAGGCGAGAGAGACGAGCATGCATGGTGCGAATATTAAGGACAGAGGATAAAAGAAGGGAGGTAGCTGAGGCAGATAGATATAAGGAGCGAGAAAAATCCAATTCGGCTCGGGCAGGAGCTAGAACAGACGATCGGACATGTGTAGTAGAATATTCGGAAGAAAGGGACGAAATGAACTTATCTAGAAACGCCTCGGCATCCTCTTCGTCGGAATCATCAGGAGAAGGTCGCCGTCTGGAAAGTCCGTCCGAAGCAACATGTTTTTCCGCCTTGACATGGTGAAGCTCAAAGTCGAACAGCTGTAGATACGAGATCCAACGGGTCATAGGTGCATTGGGAAGATCAGGAGAGTAGAGCATTTCTTTGAGAAACTTAGCGTCAAATTCGAGTCTGAACCGAATACCCCAAATCCGATGTCGCAAGTCTTTCACTGCTCTGAACACACCATACAACTCGGCCTTCGGTTGCGAGTATCTTGACTCTGTTTCATTGTAAGTGCATGAACCGAATATTGAGGGCTTCTTGTCGATCTGAATATACTGATACACAACCCAGCCGCTGCCATAGATGGACGAGTCCACTGCAACAACGACTAAGCCATGATCAGTCGAACGCGGAAACTGGTCGATCTTCTTGGCCATGTCGTAGTCGATAGCTATAAGAACTGGTGCAGAAGTGACGAGGTCCTTAATTTTCTGCATAGCCGATCGAGCAGACTCGTCGAAGATAAAATCCCGGTCGTCAGTCGAGCGGAGGAGAGAAGTGAGAGGCTTAGCGATGAGAGAGAAATTCCTTATCCACTTGCGACCACAACCAGCAGTTCCGAGAAAACCTCTGACCTCGGAGACGTTCCGTGGCTCAGGCCACTTCTGAATCTTGGCTACGATACCGTGCTCAAGATGCCAACCGTCGTAAGAAACAATTGTCCCAACGATCTTGAGAGACGGAGCGGCAAGCGTTGTCTTAAGACCAGACGCTGTAATCCCTGCAGAAATCAAACGAAGCAGTACCCTGTCTAAGATAGTAGCATACTCGTAAACGAACTTACGAATATTCGGGTTCTCTGGGATTGGTTCGTCGTTGTACCGCGACTTGGGTCCCTTAATTCCGATGTCATCGAGGAAGTTGTTGGCGTGGTGAGGAATATCTGGCTGAAGAGTATGCTGAACGCATCGTTGAAACTCCTGAACTGAATTAGTAAAGCCCATAGGCAGCGTACACTGCTGTTTTGGGCCTTCAATCGAGTGAAATGCAGTGAGAGGACGCGAAATTAAGGCAAGCATGCGTGCATCAAACCCGGAAAACAAATCTGCGATGCCATAAATCGCATAACCCACAAATTCCTCCGCAAAATCATCGGTGCGAGGCGGCAGTGCCGAGTCACGAATAGAAACGGAATTGAGAGGCTGAAGATCAAGTACAAGACGCACCGCACCACTCTTCTTCATCACAGCGAAGAGTGCAGATCGATAACTTGCTGTTGTCGGTTCGAAGCGTCCACCTGCTTCCTGCTTTCGTATTTCGTCGCGGACTGCTTGCTCCAAAGCCTTGGGTATTCGGATCGGCGGCTTCTGCCAAGGGACATGCTCTATAACAGGAATCTCATAGTCAGGAAAATAGTCGCGCTTGAATATACCTTTCTCCGAGAAATCCCATGCGAAAGCGTCCTGTCTGCGAATAACAACGTAAGCCAGCAAAAGAACCTCTTCAGAAGAAAGAAAGTCGTCGGGTATAGTGGAAATCAAGTCCTTCAAACGGTCAGTAGTAAGACGAGAAGTAGGGACAAAGTCTGAGAGCGGTGGTGGTCGAGTAGGGAGGGGATCAATATCGGGTATAGGAATGGGAAGAAACTGTTGAGCGGAAGGATTGGGCATATAAGTAGGAACTGGACGATGTTTTCGATCAACGGGTTTATACTTTTTACCAGCAGAAGCGGAATAGATACGAGAGGGGGGGAGTTTCGCTGAAAATGCACGGATAGTCCAAGGAGACGTTAAAGGTCGAGATAGCGGTAGAGAATAACTGAAACGGCGAAGGAAAGGATCGTAGAGCTCGGGTGGAGACGCAAAAAAGAGGGAGTCAAAATCAGAAAACTCTGGGTCGCCAAGTAATGCATGTAACGAGCGTCCAAGAGTGGGTATATGAGTATTAGAAGGACGTCGACTCAGCGCTGAGCCGTTGGCCCAACGCCGTTCGGAAAATCCGCCTCCTCAAATACTTCCTCGATGCGCGGCATTGACGGCCTTACCACCGAACCAGAAACGGACTCTGAAACACCAGTATTGCTCGGGCTGAGATAAATAGGCGTACCTGGAGACTTAGGACCTTGGCGACCTGGAGTAGTGGCGGACATGACCAGTTTCTCCGAGTTCCGATCGTTGTCTGGCCGAGTTAGTGTAATCTGCAGAGTAGGTTGAGACTCACGATCACCATCCTTCCAAATATTCATCCACATCTTCCCAGCACGATTGTAATTTATCTGGGTAGCGTACCATTGAATCCAAGGCTGCCCTAGAATAACATCATAACGAGTGCCAGTATCCTCTGACTTGACAAAGAAGTGATGGTCAAAATTGTGCGTACCAATGACGATAGGGACATCCATGCAACAACCGAGTAGACGAACTGGACCGCCATTCACTCCCTTCAAAGCCCAACGCGAACCCTCGAAGTCTACAGGGAGACCAGCCTCATTGACCAAACGTTCCGGCATCAAGTTGAGCTCTGACCCGGTATCGACCATGAAACGAACAGAAGGCAGGTTACCGAGACGTGCTTCAAACTGACCGGTCGTCATTGCGAAGAATCTAGTGGGACGAAGAGTCACCGCATTCGAGTAGGTAACAAGGAACGAACTTAACTCTTCAGGATCAGTCACACAGAATTGATCTCCGGGCTCGACGCACGAAGACGAATATTCCTCTGCCAACAGACGTTCAGCTTCAGCGGTATAAAGTTCGTACTCACCTGCATTATTCAAGTATTGACGACGCGTCTGAGTGGCCGTCGAAATCCTCTTCTGCAATACCGGTGCTACACTGACTAGTTCGCCGATTGACAGCATAATCGACTGATTCCAAACCTTCTTCTCGATATCATCCGGTGAGTATCGATCCTGTATGTCAGTGGTAAAGTGAAACTGTGGTCCTTTCTTCGCCGGTGTGTCCTTCATGTTGATATCTTGTGCAGCAGGAGGTGGAGCGGGGTTCGTCTTTCGCGCGGGTACCTGTGTATTGACTGGTGGAGGTTGAGGCGCGCTAGGAGGGATATTCGGACGAGGAGTTGAAGTTGCTGGCCTGAGAGATGTAGCGAGAGGAGGACGAATGGTTGAATTTGCCTGATCCTGTGTCGTTTTGGCAGTACGCTGAGCAGTAGGAGACGGATTATTCGAAGACTTAGCTGGTGGGCGTGAGTACGGAGCTGCTTGATCGCGTGCCGCATCGCGTGAGGTCTGTGAGCGTGTCGCTGGAAAGGCTTCGAGATCTGCTGATGAGACTGAGTATACTTCATGAGACGGATCACTAAAAGATGAAACAGCAAAAACATCGCCCTCAAACACAGATTGACCGTCGACAATCAAACCAGCAGCTGAACTACCGAACGAGCCGGACTGATGAGGCGGAGGATCACGTTCGACCTCCTTGCCTTTCGCTGTCCCCGTTGTCGTACCCTTTCCGAGTGACATAAATGCAGACCTGATGTATGCAGCCAAACCGCCAGCAATACCTCTAGGTGCCTGCGGAAGCTCGACACCACTTGACAATACAAACCGATTTGAATCAAAGTCAAACTTGATAAAGCCCTCGTTCACGAGCTTGGTAGTCTCCGGACAGTTACGAAGTCTCTCCGGGTGCATTCCTGCCTGTCCGCACATGAAGCACCGCCTATGAAAATCCGACTGTGGCGGCTGATTCGAGGGTTGCTGGTTAGGCTTCCCTGCACCGACCGGTATCGCAGCAGCCTGCATGGCTAGTAACTGTGCCATTTGAAGCGAAAGCTCTCGGAAACGATGAGTCAAATCGTCTATGTTCGCAGAAGCCTGTGCTGTTGTTTGAGGAGGCACAGCCGTCTCAACCCTGACAGGCTGAGGCGGAGGTGTCTGCTCAAAACGAACAGTCTTCTGCAACGGTTCATCAGTCAACAAGTCATGTCCTGTCAACGGCTCAGGCTCCAAAGCATTGATCTGATCCGGGTCAAATAGCACAGACACTAACTGAACACAGGTATCAATCGTCGGAGGATTCGTACGAGTGCGGAACTTAGCATCAACGTTCTGGTAAATGTACGTGCGATGCTCGCTAGGCAAGCCTTTGAAGAAATGTAAGTTCGCCTCCGTTGTTGTCCAGAGATTCTTCTTGATCAAGGGAGCTGACATCGCATGAAACTGCCGATGATAACTCGCCAAGTCCTGACGCGAATTGAAGCGTGCACCAAGACCTGCCTGACGACAGAAAGAAAGAACAGTGTCGATAGAGACGAGAGAAGGTTCGTCTAGAGAGCCATAGAGATCGAGGAGGTGCTTCTTGGCCACAGCCCAAGTGCTCGTATCCTCAAGCTCCTTTGAATAACGGATGACTGCTTTGACCTCGTCCGTGCAGTACTGATAAATAAGCGAAGGCAGCTTGTCTTCTTGCAGACCAGCGGCCTCTGCATGCTTATGCAGCGTAGTCAAGAAATCATTGATATACCGTCCGTTAAACAACGGAGCGTCACGAGTACCAGGGATGGGCAAGCCACGAGAGAATGTCACAACCGGCGGCGTAACTACCGGTGCTGAGACAGGCACCGGATTCGTTCCAGTACCATGCGAACCCATAGTACTTGCAAGAGAGAGAGACTCGGATTAAAATGAGAAAAATGGAAGAAGATACTCAGCTTGAAAGGTTATTGTAGACGTTGAGTCGGAATACCAATCCCCCTGCGGTGGTCACCACTGTGGAGGTACGAAACTGATTGGAGGAGGAGGGGATCGGGACGTGGTCGCTCGGTCTACAGAGGTAGAAGAGAGGCCGATCAAGCGAGTGGAAAAGGGAGGAAAATTAGAGTAGCAATGTACGCACCGGATTAATAAATGCGGACACTTGTAGGGTTTTGAGAGAGTTCGAGTTCTCCGAGGATAAGCCGGAACGTGGTGGAGAAACGAGACGAGGGAAGCAAGCAGAAGAAAATGGAGAAAATGAGGGTATTGAGGCGAGGCGAGTGGAGTCAGAATAAAGAGAGTGGAGGACGATGAGAGCGAGAGGCAGACGATAGAGTTGACGAGTGGGGGAGACAGACGGTTGACGGACAGACACGCAGACAGAGACGTTCGAGTTCACGGGGTGAGGGGGGACCTGCATTCGAGAGGTGGCAGGACACCGGTATAAGTGACAAGAGAATGGTGCTTCCCGATCAGCCGCGCGTGCTTCATGCCGCCGTCGGG